TGCTCTTATTTCTATATCGGCTTCATTTCTCTTGATTATGTTTATCTGTTCCTCTATCTGTTTGTTATATATCTTATAGTTCCCTCTTGATTTCATTCTTTCTTTTATATCTTCAATGTGTGTCAGGAAGTGTTCCATACCTTGGCCATTAACCTCTACCTTTGATGTAGTATGGAATAAATTGATACGATAGAGTTGTCTGTTACTACTTCTATTTCTGACCGAATGTGATGTTCTGATGCATAGCCCTTGATTATCATGCTGGTGATAGCTCTAGGATGTAGTTTTGATGTTTCTGCTCAATTTGTATGTCCATTGTTCTATTACATGCTTCTAGCTTTTTGTCCAAGGCCCTGGTTTTATTGATACTAAAGTTTTCATATTTAGCTGGTGTATAGGGCTGAGGTTTGCTCTTGGTTCTTGCTGATGTTCTAGTCTGGATACTCATTTTTCACTTTAGATATTTATTTTTTTAACGAGGAAGTTCTATGTAGATTAATGTGCATTCAGCGGGGCGTCCCCACTAAAAGCTTGCTCAAATAAGAATTTTCCAGTTAACTATTATATCTTCTGATGTCAGGGTTTAATGAGTATGTAGATATATATATATGTTAGTTATACACTATGGACTAGGGTTATATAAAAGCTGTTATATTTCTATATATGAATGCAATTAAATATGGTTGTTATAAAGTTTATATATATATGTATATAGTATTCTATTCTACTGTATTGATGATATTTATCTATAACATTGGTGGAGAATTTTGGTCGCTATTCTTCTCATCCAGAGCTTTGCTAATAAAGAGTTTGGATGTACACCGTCAGTTTTGTATAGATTAAAATTGTAGTATTCGTCAGTACCGCCTTTTCTTTTAGATGTTTTTCGAATGTCTAGATCAAATTTTGGTGATTTTTCTGCAGATTGGTTTATTTCTTGGATGAAGGTGTTTAATTGATATAACTGGTTTTGAAGTGTTTGATCGTCTTCACTGAAAATGTCCGGGTTTTTGTGGCCTTGTGATCTGTTCCAGCACTGAATGGAGTATGGCGGTACTTCTAAGACGATGATTTCTGATTTTGGTTTTATTTTGGTGATGATAGCCTTAAGTTCAATAAATTTTCTTCTTAGATATCGGACGTTTGAATCGTTTTGGTTCACAAGAGAGATGTATCTGGTAGTTTTGTTAAGTTCGGTTAAATTACAGGTTCCTAGCCAAATATAAAATGTGATGTTTTTGTGTTGATGACAGATAGATGGTGATTCTTTTTCGGCCCAATCAATAGTTTGCTGTACTTTTTGTCCTTTTTTTGTGATAAATTTTACATTTAGGAAGTCTTCAGTTGTAATGGCTCTCTTTATGTAGTTGCCTTTACTATCAGATATAATTATGGGTTGGCTTTGGGCTGTTTTATCCTGAATATCTCTCTTATTTACTCTGAAGTATCTGCTTGACTTTACAACTTTAGTCTCAGACATATATCAGTCTTTGTGGGAACAGAGGACTAAATTTTCTTTTATCTTTCAAACACAGGATATTGGTTGAAACACAAGTACAGTGTGTTTAAAGGTTTGATTAAACTATATATATATGCAATAAATAGATTTAGCAAGAAAATAAAAAAAGAGAGGGGGGGGGGGGGGGGGGGGGGGGGGGGGGGTCTAGACTACAGACTATGTGGTCAAAAATTTAAACTTAACTAGAAGGGAAAAAAAATTATTTAACAGTTCGAAATGATTATAAAGATGTCTGAATTATTTATTTTAATTATTTATAAGTCACAAAAAGACTTAGACTTACTGTCTGAAAAATTAAAATTTTATTTGTCAAAATTCAAATATGGCGCTGGAAATTAAATGGCCGTCCGGCAAGGCCTGCAAGAAAAGTTAGCTGGAAACACCGTGCAATTTACAAAAAAGCCTGAAGTTATTAGTTAAAACAAGGTATAGTGACCTATAATATTAAATTGTGAGGATGCAAGTGCAAATAAAGACTTAGAAACTCTCCGTATTTGGATCTGTGATCTGTGCAAAATCTTCGTGCTGCTATACAACGTCCATTCGGAACAAAAAAATCCGAAATTTTCCATTACGACAAATATATTTAACAATAGAATTAATTAAAAACAAAGAAAGGTAAAAAGTGAGATAAACGGATTAACAAATTGTCACTTTAGCACTTAAAATATATTGTCTGAATTTGCTTTATTTCTAATTCACATTTGTCCAAATCTTCCTGGTTATATTCGCCACTACTCCGCCTAAACTCGGTCTCCGAGTTTGCTGAATTGAGACAATTTTACTTCGGTTATCTTCGCGGGTATCCTCCTTGTCGTTGGCGTTGATGCGAATTATGGGAATAGTTTGTACGCAAACTTTCAATTTGATTCTCGGCTATTGAAAGTTCATAAAGCAGATTTTGACGTTCACGTATATTGTCGTAATTTTGTACCTTGAGTTTCTGAATTTCGTCTTTAAGTGTTTCGATAAAATGACAGTCTTGCATCTCAGCATTTTTCAAATCCATGGTTAAACGGTATCTAGTGTTAGTTAAATTAAGGTTTTCTTCTTTCAAACGCACTATTTCCTGTTCAAAATTTTCAGTTCTACTGGTATGCTCGGCTAACTCATGTTCGATCTTTTGGATTATTCGACCATGTTGCAAACGTTCCAAATTTAGTTTGTCCAAATTGTTCCTTACCATCACATTATCTTTCATTACGGTATCCAATTTCGAATTTTCACATTTGAGGACAGCAATTTCTTTCAGCGAGTTTCGATGAGACGTTTTTAACTTGTTTATGTGCTGTTTCGCGGTTTCGTCCTGTATGGAGCATGTAAAAGTAGAGAGTTCCTTGTCCTCGAGTCCTTGAAACGGAAATTGAGACATTTGTTTCTTCTCTATAAACTTTCTCATTCTGTCGCTGTCTCTTTGAATTTTTGATTTCGATTTCTTCTTTGGTTTTGGGTTGCCAACAAATGACTTCACGTGAAAATTACACATGATGTCTGCATTTGTAACAATAAGCGTTTACTGCATTACACCGATGGTATGTGAAAACATTCAATGTCTTACCGCAATATTTGCACAGAAATTCCAAACAGGTATCTGATTTTCTTATCGATAACGGATGTCCATTTCTGCAAGGCTGGTAATTCCAAGGTCCTTCCAACCTGTTGCTTCTGAAGGTATTCATTTGCTAGTTTGGGGGAACTAGCTCAGGATCGTGACGCGGGTAACCTCAACCAATATATAACCGGGGGTTTTCCGTGTTATATTAATTCAAAGACGGAATACCAATACTTTAAACTTTATTAGCAAGGTCCGGACAGTACCAGACCTAAGACCTAAAACTGACTTCAAAAATATCATACAAAAGCATATTTAGCACATACTTACAACTTCTCGTCCAATCAAATTGCTTATATTTGCCTTCTAATTTTCATAGTACATACTTTTTCCGTGTACTAAGTAACTTCGCATGAATAACCACGAGGGTAAGATTTCATTGTATCGTTATCAAGATATTTAAAACAAAAATTGCCACTGGCTATTTTGAAATAAAATGCTGTGTTCCAAATTAAATTAAATAGTTTGTAATTAGTTTTCACGTTGATTTTTAAATATCCTGCTATTAAAATCTTTGGATCTAAAAAATGTTTTTGACAATTGCAAATTTCTTTCATTTAAATAAAGGGTAATACATATGGTTCTTTATACCTTGATTAGAGTACAACGATATCTTAAAATTATGATAATGTATCATCCATGCAATTACTTTGTACACAAAAAAGTGTGTAATATGAAACCTTGTGAAGGGAAATTAAAGCAACTTAGTAATAATTTTTCAAACTTTCTTAAGGAAGGTGATCTATATATTTCGTCATGAATTGATTGATTTATTGATTATTTGTTGCTAAATGTCCAGTGGCAAATATTTCATGCATGTTCAGGACGATGTCATGAATTGAAAAACAGATTATGTCTGAAGATAATGTGCCACCTATATATATACATCTAAACATATTCTGATAATTTTTTTAGTTTTTACTTAAATTTGAAATAATAAAAAAAAACACACACACACAAAACCTATAATCTCTGATCTATTGGTAGTTGCTTTTTAATGCCTATCTGCTAGACTATATCTATGGGGGAAAACTATCTATATGTTTCAAATTTATTATAGCTTTAGTTTTACTGTGAATTAAAAAATGTTTTCAAAACATGTAAAGCTTCCACTGCAATTTAATTATTGCCTGCTTTTGGTCAATTTATTTGGTCATCTTACTATGTAAGAAGAACATGTATAGTAAGACACCGCTTTATATCAATATACATACTTACACCAGCAGCTACCATCTTTTCATTTTGGAGTCAAGGGCTTTTTGAAATCACATATTTTACAATGATACTAGTGAGTAGATTTAAAAAACTTCGTTAATGAGCTCCGTTTTCCAAACACCTGTGATACAAGTAGTCAGCCAAAATAAACTATCAATATACCAATTAAAAGATTACTCGAGTTGTAAATATGTGCTAAATTGGATAGTCTATGGAAAGGTATATACTATGAAATTAAGAGCTCGGGGCAAGCCCCTCGCTCTAAATTTCATAGTATATACCTTTCCATAGACTAACCTAGACATAAAAAACAGTATCTAGTGTCCAACGGATTAACTTGTCATCGTCAAAGTGATTTCCATTACGACAAATATATTTAACAATAGAATTAATTAAACACAAAGAAAGGTAAAAGGTGAGATAAACGGATTAACACATTGTCACTTTAGCACTTAAAATATATTGTCTGAATATGCTTTATTTCTAATTCACATTTGTCCAAATCTTCCTGGTTATATTAAGTCTAGTTTAAAATAAAGGTTAAATCACAAATGCATTTCAGTTAAAAGAACGCGATATTACCTTCAGCTATTTTACATGGTTTAATAACTTTATATCGATTTTAAACCTTCCTTGTTAAAACGTGGTCATGCCTGACTTATTTTTTAAAACTTAAAAAACCCTGAGGTAAATGGTACACATTTAAAGTTTAAAAACTGTGTCATTCATACAGGAAATCGTGATGGAATATAAGAATATATAAACAAAGGCGAAAAATGGCAAATTTTAACATCATGCGCCTTATTTGGAACTGCCACTTAATAGCATTATTGTTCATTGGACCATCAACAACTCAATATTATAAAGGTATGATTTCGTTATGTATTTCAATATTTACTTGTTTTCTAATTTTTTTTTCAATAAACGGACAATACTTTTCTAAATACGCATGTAAACTCTCACGTTTGACAACATAACCAACAACTTCGTCAACAACCGTATGTATGTATGTATGCATATATATTAAGTCTAAAGATTTGCACAACGGTACTAATATAAGATGGTAATATACGAAGATGATGTTATAAAATTGTGTTGACAAATATTTCGGCTTAACAAATAGCCTTCGTCAGTATGCATATATATATATATATATATATATATATATATTTACGTTAGTTAAAAATAAATATTTGGTCATGGTATGTGAATATTTAATGCCCAAGATGTCATTGAGCCCGGATGTGTTTTTTTTTTTTTTTTTTTTTTATTTACAACTGCATGAAGAAGACATTTTTGATACTGATGCATATTATACAGCATAGAAAATTCTTATGAAAAATACACGGGATTATGGGGACGTACTTAGTTTCCAATGAGATGAATGTGTGTAATGTTGTTTTAACTACAATAACTTCAAGACAGTTCAACTTGATATATATTTATTTAAGATACAAAGGCATGAATTTGACAGATACAAAATATTACAAAGACACAGATATAGCACTAGACATAGTTTATAGACACTAAAATGATATACATGTTTACTAAAAATTTTAATTTAATTATGAAAATTTTCATGACATTATGATAATATGAATAGACTAGATTAAATAATGAGTGAAATTTAAATTGACTAGATTTTCACTGTAGCCTAATATCTTAGGATGACCCACAAAAGTTATTAAAACTTATTTCCAGTGGGGTCCTTTTATAACGAGACTTCCAGTTTACACCAAGGGTTGACACATAGAAAATACAAGCACAAATCATTTAGAATTTATCACAGATATATGGTCAAACCCCCAGTATAATTAATAAAAAACAAATTCACTATTAAAGATGGATTTAAATTTATCCATCAAAAACTTTTTCACTTGTACTTTAAAATTTTATTTTTTAGAGCAACTTTTAATCATGTCTGGTAACGAATTCCAGTCTTTTATTCCATTATAAAGGAAAGTGGTGGATTCACACCCTTTAATTCCTGGTATATAAAAGTTTTTACTACTAGATCTTGTATTGAAAGATGTTTCATTTTTAACAAAATTAGTATGTAAATAATTTGGGCATAAATTGTTAAAAATGTTGAAAACATGATTGAGTCTTAGTTGTTTGACTCTATTACTAATGTTTAAAAAGCCCAATTTCTTAAATTCAATATATGTCACACTCTTTCTTGGATGTAATTGCAGAATAAATCTCACAATCTTATTTTGTGCCACTTGAAGTTTATTCTTCATTTTTTTTTATATACCTTCATACCAGCATGCACATGCATAGTCAAAATGACATTGAATCAGGGAAGAGCACAATGTTTTCCTAGATTGAAAATTTAGACACTCTTTGTTTCTATATAAAAATTAAAGCCTTTGATTGACTTTTTTTCACTATAGAGTTGACAATAAAATCACCAGTTAGAAACTGATCAATTATTATCCCCAAATATTTTACAAAAGTTTTGGATTCAATATTAATACCATTACAGGAGATAGCAAAATCACCCGGTGTTAAGGACCGAAGTTTTCGACCAGGACCAAAAATTATACTCTCCGTCTTTCCCAAATGTAGGGACAATTTACTGTCAGTTAACCAATCATGGCATGATTCCAGCATTCTGGATAATTTATGCGAGATGACCCCAGGGTCTATATGGGAAAATAAAATTGCAGTATCATCTGCATATATCAAAACTTTACAATCTGAGTCGATGCTAATTTGAACATCATTGACATAGATCAAAAACAAAAGTGGACCCATTAAGCTACCTTGAGGGACAACACATGTAATATTACACACTTCTGAAATCACCCCATTTACACTTACAACCTGTTTTCTGTTTGTAAAATATGACTCAAAACATGGTATAGATCTAACCCCAATTACTTCTAATTTGTCACATAATATCTTGTGACCTACTGTGTCAAATGCCTTCTGTAGGTCTAATAGGACCATGCCTGTAAAAAGACCTTTGGCTGTTTGAGCTTTAATGTGATCTATCAAGTGAATGAGACAAGAATCAGTTGAATATGAACTTCTAAATCCTGATTGAAACTCAAATAATAAATTATTTGAAATCAAATATTTTTCAAGTTGCTTATAGGCAGCTTTTTCTAGAATTTTAGAAACAATACTTAAAATGCTAACAGGCCTGTAATTTTCAGGCTTAAGTCTGTCATTTTTCTTAAATAGGGGCTTGACCTTAGCCATTTTCAGATCGTCAGGTACCGTACCTTCAGAGATAGATAATTTTTTTCAAGAAAGTAATGGGTATTTTCAGAATTGGGGCTGCATCCTTAAGAAACCTTGCTGGAATACCATCTAGGCCCATGCTCTTACTTGTATTTAAACTGCATAGTTCTTTATACACAAATTCCTCTGTTACATGCTTTAGGTTAAAAAAAATATCTGATTTCCTTTTCTGGACATAAAAGGATCTAACAATATTTGTAGTGGCACTATATAAACCCTTTGCAGTTGGTAGTTTTTCTACCAGTTTTGCAGCTATAGTTGTAAAAAACATGTTAAAATTATTTGATATTTTTTTGTTATCGTGACAGTTTTGCCCATCAATATTTAATACTATATTAGGATTTGATTTAGGATCTTTTTGATATCCTAAATTTTTAAAACTTTTCCAAAGATGTTTTGGGTTATTTCTATTTTCTTCAATTTCACTGCTGTAATAGTCAGATTTTGCAGTTTTGCATGATCGTTGAACATGATTTCTAAGTTTACCAAACTTTTTGAAATCTTCAGGATTTTTAGAAATCTTAAAATCAGATAAAAATTTGTCTCTCTGCTGAATATCTATCAAAATTTCAGCTGACATCCATGGTCCTGTACTTTGTTTAATACAAACTTCTTTAAGAGGAGCAACACTGTCAAGAATATCCATAAAAATTTCTTTAAAAAATTACCAGGCCTCATTTATATCTGAGGCACTGAAACACCTTTCCCATTTTGCTTTTGTAAGCTTAGCTATAAATTCATCTTTATTATAGGATTTCACAGATCTGACTTTAACATTACTGTGCTTATTATATACAGATTTTGCTAATTTTCCAGTACAATATACCATACAATGATCACTAAAACTAATATTTAGTACACCAGACTGAGAGATTTTCTCAGTATTATTACATAAAATATGATCTATTACAGATGCTGTAAATTCTGTTATTCTAAATGGCTCTTTAATAATTTGACTTAAATTAAACAATTTCAGAAGCTCATTAAAAGATTTATGCAGTGATCCACTCTGATCTTTAAAACATATGTTCAAATCACCAAGTAATATAATTTCACAATCCTCTCTTAGTTGAGACAAAAATTTTCAAATTTCTCAACGAAATTACAATTATGAGGGGGTCGATAACAAGTCCCGACAAAAATAGGTTTAGATTTTGGTAATAATAATTCAATACACAAAAATTCATCATTTTGTTTATTTCGTCCAAATTCATTGGTGTAAACGCAAGATTTTCTTTAATGTACATACACACACCACCTCCACATCTGTTACGGTCTTTTCTGAGGATAGTGTATCCAGGGATGTTAGCCTCTGTATTGGTTATCGTTTCATCAAACCATGTCTCGGTTACAGATATCACTGCTGCTTTTGTTTAAAATGTGGGTAATATTTCGACCTTGGTGATTTCAGACGAAAAGATTTAACTAATTTTATTTCGAAGTTACCCCATAAAAAATATAAGAGATTTTACATCAAATTCTGAAAACCTTCTGTCGATTACGATTTTCCTACTGATGCTATATTTTTGTGATGTGACAATTTCATGCATTTTGAGTTAACCTTGTCAGGTGACAGACAAGAACTATTTCCTGTTTGACATATCGAAAACGTTCTGATAATCTCATAAGTACTGGAATATTAAATATACCATGTCTACTTTCGACATAAATGTAAGTTGTAGAGCAAAGAATTAGATTCAGATTAAATAACGTTGAATGATGATGTTTTCTCTATGTTCTTAACATTTCTTTTGAAGCCATTTGTATGCGTATTTTCATGGCAATTACAGGAATATTTAGTTAATATTTGTTCCGACTGTAGTTCGAATTACTTTAAAAGCACGATAAAGTTTTTTTTATAGATATTCATAAAATATTATGTTTACATTGTAACTATGCATTGTGATATAGGATTTGTCATTTCTCATCTCTTTGTCGCTAACCACAGGGAAACCTTTGACGTTTATACAAAGCAGCATAACTCATTTAATTTTTGACCCAGAACTATTACACATTTCTATAAAGCAATGAAATAAAAATTCCCCAACTAAATTACTATAGAGCATCCTTGTTTTCTAAAACTTCTATCGATGTCATTAATATTGTCGATAAACGACTAAGAAGTAATAGGTCTCATGGTAAACACAAAAACTGTAATCAACGTATTAAACATAGTATAACTTAAAACTTTTACTAAATTTTTTCATAGATACAAAGATTTGATTAGTAAATTTGGCTGTACCTGTAGAAAACTTATTAAAAACGGCATTTCACATCCTAAATTTTACGGTAATATTGTACTAAAAGCGCGGAAATCACTATGTGATCCGTGTAAACTCATCGAACCTTTATACAAACTTATTAGTAAAGGTTATCTTACCAATGATGTAAAAATAGATCTTTGAATATAGTTTACATTGGCACAAATATCGATTTTGTCATCAGCAGATTAAAACATAACTAAATCTGTATTCTTCTCAAACGGTTTTTTGGGATGTATAAATACACATCCACGTTCATTTTCTATATAGAGATTACTCTATCTATATATTACATTATACACATTTATTAACAGGTTAACTCCTAACTATCCTAGTGCCTGTCGATACGTTTATTTTGGCATTGCACAAGTCGTGTCTTCTTTGACTGTCCATGACGTTAAAACACTAAATCCCTGGGATGTGTTTAGTTGATTTTAGTCTCTGATGCATGATTTTTTATTATTAATTGTTTTTGGTTTTTAACTAGCTTTCAGTAACTGCGAATACTCTCAAATCGTACTTTCGTGTTAATTTGACCTGTTGATACAATTTGTAATGTTTTTTTTGTTATTTAATGTTTACTTATTCAGTGTTATATCTAGTCTCACTATTTTTAATATATACCACCTTTGATAAATGTTTAGTATGACGATAAATTTTCACATTTTGTTCTCGTACTAGGAAGACCAAAATTATTTATTTTGTAAAAATTATACCCGTACCTTACAACAAAATTATTTTTATTTACCTGTGTACGTTATTTTATTTGGCGGCATTTTGTCCAAGGTTATGGTTGTCTTTCTGATATTGTTAAACATCTACCCCCCCCCCCCCCCCCCTTGTTTTATTAATTCTGTATTTACATTGTGTCATAGATCAAATTTATTCGTTCAGTGTATGTTCACTTGTTTTTGTTAATATGTCTTTTGATTGAGTTAAGTCATTTCAATTGATATTTTATAGTGTGTCTTTCTATGTTGTGATGTTACACTATTGTTTCAGGTAGGGTGAAGTTTGGCGCCTATTAAAACGTTTAAACCCGCTGCATTTGTTTACACCTGTCCTAAGTCAGGAACCTGTTGTTCAGTGGTTGTCGTTTGTTGATGTGGGTCATAAGTGTATCTCGTTTCTCGTTTTTTAAATAGATTAGACCGTTGGTTTTCCTGTTTGAATGGTTTTACACTAGTCATTTGTGGGGTCCTTTATAGCTTTCTGTTCGGTGTGAGCCAAGGCTCCGTGTTGAAGGCCGTACTTTGACCTATAATGGTTTACTTTTACAAATTGGATGGAGAGTTGTCTCATTGGCACTCATACCACATCTTCTTATATCTATTGGAGCCATGTTAATTTGGGAAATAAATTGAGGGGGTTTATATGAAAACTATATATATAGACCTTGAAAACGTGGAATACATAAAAGAATGACATTATATAGTGGTATTTGCCATCATGAGAGGATGATACAGAGGAAATAATGTAATTTAAAACACCTTATGAATTATGCTTTCTGTTAATTTTTTCTGCCTCCATCCAACAACACAAAAACACAAAAACACAAAACAAAACGAAAACGAAACAGAGTTCTTTCTCGATTTATCACAATGTATCGTGCTTACAATAACTCCGTAAAATTCAGAAGAATTCAGTTACGTGTATAATTATTTTCTTGTACAATTGATGATCAAACTTAAGAAAAAGAGGTGTATTCATTTTTTAACATTTAAAGACAAAGTAGCCCTTAATAGCTTGCTGTTCGGTGTGAGCCAAGGCTCCGTGTTGTAGGCCGTACTTTGACCTATAATTGTTTACTTTTTACACATTGTGACTTAGACGGAGAGTTGTTTCATTGACACTCATACCACATCTTCTTATTTCTAACACTGGCATTTAATTCTACTTAAAAAAAGGTTTTCTGATGATACGAAATTAAGTAGTAGGTATATTACATATATATATATATATTTATAAAAACGAATATCTTTTTAATATCTGTTTGCATGTTTTCGTTTCTTTTTAGCGGACTGCTTAATAGATGTTGTATTTCTATTCGACGAATCGAGTGCGGTTTCTGATGCATTGTTTAACAAAACTTTGAGGACAGTAGACGCAACAGTAAATAATCTCGATGTAAAAGAGATGGGTGTTAATGTCGGTGTCGGCTGTTACGCCGACACTTTCCGACAAATTTTCCAGATGGACTATTTTTACAGTAAAACAACTATAAAGAATGAAATAGACGGTATGAAAAGACAACCAAATGTGGGTCAAGCAAATTTCCAAAACGCATTGAATCGAACATGCAGAGTGATGTTTTCCTCGCGTGCAGGAGGTCGTTTGAAGGCTGTTAACTATCTTGTCGTAATATCACCACTGGGTGTTACATCTGTAACAGACGCTGAACTTGATGCTGTTGTTAAATATTGTAAATCACGCTCTGTAAGAATTATAAGTATTACGGAAGGCTCTAGTTCTGAGATATCCAATACCATAGCTTACGATTCCACTTACCAGTTTAATTTGGGAGATGAAAACACAGTTGCTGCGAGCGTCAGTACACTCATACAGGACAATGCCGGTTGTAAAGAAGGTTTGTGTTGCTTTTAAGAATACAAAATAAGAATAGAAAACGTGTTAAGATTGTAGAATTAAAATATACTGAAAACATACCCCCCAACAAACAGTAAACTTGAGGATCTTGTTATTTGATACAAAACTTTATTGTGTGTGGTATATCGTATGCTGCAGTTTCTTGTGTAGTGTCTGTGAATTATTATAGATAAACGCCCATACTTGAATGTCCTTTCATTTTGCTTCTATGTTGATGACACGCATTGAAGATGAACTACATCTTCTTTTAAAATGTTCTACCTTTAAATATTTGAGAGATAGTCTCATTAAAAAATTTAATAATGTTCTATTGAACAACAAATTACTTTCTTTATCATATGACTTGTTTATATCATTATATGCTTGTGAATTACTTGTATGAATGCTTGTTAGTAAGAAACTCATTGTCAAAAGATACTTGATTTTTCTTTTCTTTTTTTTTTTCTTCTCATACTTAACCACTATCATTCCTTCAGTGTATATATGTTATTGTAGTTTGTTTGTATTTGCGAGCGATCGCTTCAAATCACAATTTTGGGTCCTCATTACGGTCCGAGGTTTAAGTCGTGCCGATTTTATTCAAAAACAAATTGGGATGGGGGAAAACAGCTTAAGCTCAATGTTAAATTGCAAGATAAAAACAATATTCGTACAGTGATTTAAAATATAAACTTTATTTGTACTCGCTACGAACCAAGAGAAAAGCTCGGCAAGCCTCGATTTTCTCTCTGTTTCTGTTGTAGACAGAACATTAACACAACACAAGAATATTTCATTACAATAGAAAACAAGTATTTTGTATGACCATGATACGTGTACTATTGGAAATGTCTGTAGCGTATGATTACAGTCCGGAAAATCACAGCTTCATAAGGCTCTACTATAAAAATGTATACTTTCAGAATTTATCATCATCAAAATGATCAGTAATTGACCTATGAATAACATTTAACACATTCTTATAAAAAGAATGACTTGACTTTTTTTACATTGTAGGTATTGACAGACTTGCTAAATGGTTAGAAACCATTATATTTGGTTCTATAGCTCTGATTACCATACTAATGTGCCTGATCTGCTTTCTACAAAACAGGTTAGTACCTGGTGACTATTAGATAAAAAAAAATTTTACATTTATTTTAATATATATCGATTGGTGTATCCGGAGCGAAAATGTGATTGATTCATGTTCTTGGCGAACCGGCGCATGGTTGCTCAGCATTCTTTGTTTGACAAAATTTAACTCTCTTACGCCAATCAACTATCATTTCTCGAACTGCGCTTCTCATACATAGGACATAGTCTGTTTATCACATGTACAATACAATAATCCTTATATATAGTCGATACATATTATAAAAATACAAACATAAGCTGTTTAGAGTTGTGAAACCGACAAGACAAATACAGTAAAACATGCGATACACACAAAGACATGCGAGCATTTAAACACACAAAATGGCTAATTTAACAATATAATTTATGTAAGCACGAACAGCAGCATTGGTAAACAAACCTTCAAACTACATTTGTTTACATGCAACACTGCTTTTAAAGTTAAAGCAGTAACATAAAATTGATAATTTAGATTCACAGCATGAGCAAGATTAAATTACACAATTAACATGCAATATACAATGCTGTCACAATTTTCGTCAGCAACATCGTATATATATATATACAGTGTTCTTGAAATCTGGTGATCCATATTCAGTAGACAGTGTAGTTTATTTCAGAAACGCCGTTTGTCCATTTCAGGCCTGCTTGATAGATCCTTTTGCTTTCAACCATCAGGGGGGAGGGGGTAATTATTAAAGTAATCAATATCTCAGTCTACGACTTTGTAAATAAAATTGTTTTCTTTTATGAAGAGTAACTGTTTTTCCTGACTGTGTAGAATCGTACTGGAGCATTGTATATGCGCCCTGATCATAAACTTTTTTATTTTTTTTACTTTTAATTTTAGATATGTGAACAGAATGAAGGCTGCTCAGGAAAAGTACAAAGAACCAGAGAAAAAGACACAACTTAATTGCTGATTTGAGTTACCATAGTCTCTGTTCACTGCACATAAATCATCAATAAATCTAGATTTGTTCAATTTGATTTGCATATGAACAGAAGATATTACCAGAAGCTCATTAAAACCTATACAGCTTTTCTTTCTGGTATCTTCATCTCAGAAAACCTTCGTTTTTTTTATCAATTGATATGTAGTTCACATTTGCACTCTCGTAACTCAAAAATGCAGTAAAGACCCTGATTCATGGCACTATTTTTATGCCGGTGACGGTTTCGTGCACATGTCGAATACTATTACTGTAATCAAGCATAAAATGAAAAAATATATTATTGGTATTCAATTTTTTTGTCAGACACAGAAAAACACCATTGGGTCCGATTTAAGAGCAATAGGGCATGGAATCGTAAAACGTAACTAATTTGTTGAATGGATTTAATTTCTGTATTAATACCGGTTTACTCGTTAAGAGCAAAAGATACAGCATGTAGTTTATATGCAATAAGCAACTATTTAAGTTTTGTAAAAATGCACTCTTTTAAGTAATTGGTCAGATTAACGACCGCATGCACTTAGCATAATCATTAACTAGATCATAATAAAAATGAAACGGATGGATTTTATTCAAAGCTATTTGATATGTTGATTGAAAACGGAACAGTTTAACATTTATATGAACCTATTATTGTGTAGCAACAACATATTTCATTCAGAACGTAATCAAAAGTTAGCGTGCAATAATTATATATCATATTGCACTAGTGCAAATAGATCTTTAATTAATGACGTCATCTGTGACGTTTAATTTACAAACATTAAGATTTGCTTTACAATAATCCATGAATATTGAGGAATAATGTCCCTTTTAGAATATCTGAAGAAAAAAAAATAAAACAGTTTATAAATTTCGTGCGCTTTTCTAGATTTACCTTCATCGTAATCGTTCAAATGCAAAAGTTTTAGAGTCAAAGATGTATAAGTACCGAAATACGTGACGAGATATGTACAATGTATAGGACCAAAAGAGAATAGCCACAATTCATCTAAGGCAAGGGAGTTGGAACAATTGCCTGATTACTTTGATGGTTTTTTTTTTCATTTTTGTTAGTTTTTCCCCCTTGAATGTTCTAAAGAACCCTTCAAATAGAATGTTTTAGATAAATACAAATGGGCATAAGAAGTTAAATACTAAAAAAAAAACCAACATACCAAGGAATCAACAGTTATTTATTAGCCTGCAGTGGCACACAAAAAAGACAGTTTATTGCATAACACACTTTCGGGAGTAATCGTCAGAACCTTAGAAACGTCAGTAGCTATGTGCCCAAAAGGAACTTAAGAAGGTCAACTTTACCCGATAGAGTTTGTTCTTAGCTCTTTAATTATTAATTTATCAACGAGGATTTTTAGTAAAATATGATAAAAATCATATCAGTACCGCAGCACTGACCACTGGGATGATGATACCATCGAGTATACCAGCAGTGGTATCGACCAATGCAGCGCTAGTGAATGAAAACACACTTTATAGATTTCGTGTGTCCAAAATCATTTTCTTGATTTACCTTCATCGGGATCGCTCAAATCTAAACATTTAGAAATCCAGGGATGCATGTATAAACGTAATGAGCTATGTTACTTAAATTGCCAAATTTATCTGTATCTTCTTTACCTGAGGGATTTGGAAACTTAGTTTCCATTTTTTATATACTAGTATTACTATAGTACGTTCAGTACAATAACGTAAACCAGATCGAAATTATATACAAGTGTATCCTTGCACAATACTTATTGTTCTGGACTATAGTCTAATAAGGACCTATTATTCTGGACTATAGTCTAATAAGGACCCAACTAATTCAGTATCTGCGTGATCAAGAACAAACCATGATTACTCATTGCACAATTATACTCCAAAATTTGTCAGTTTCAACTGGTCAAGTTGTATTCAAAAATATTTTTCGTCGTTTTATACCTTGTATGGTTTTGGTATAAAACAAAGATTTCCAACACAGCGTTTGATAGGAAGGAGCTCCTCTCTTGGATTTTGCTTGAATTCAAAATTATTTTTTTTCAACAACACAAAAGAGCCAACTTTAGTCGTAACCGCCATCGGACATCGGAATCACCATAACAACACTTTAAACAACCGTCATACAAAAATAAAGTTAAAGTCCATTGATCTTTTATACTTTTAGCAATTCTTGAAAAATAATTTTGATACATTTGAAAAATATATAAGTGTGTTTAACAGACAATGAGCACCGAGTGATCGAAAAGATACACGGGCGAAATTTTGGTACTCTCAGTGATTCTTTTTCTACCACTGTGAGTCATCTCCATATTATCTGAGTCAATGCCTGGACACAGTTTTATAATTAAGATGAATGATGATTTTATCACCTTATACACCACAGCTTATTTGGGTCAATATTATGTTAGCGTCACTAGTTTTCAAAAAACCTAGTATCATTGTGTGCCTAAAATAAAGTATACGATTCCGCCATTTCATTTGAATAAAAACAATGAGAATCCAATGACTTCCCTCCTTCTTTATCCGTGTTTGGGACCGGAAGTTGTCATTGGAGGATTAAAAGGCATTTGAAAGATTAGTATAATTTTAAAGCATGCAAATAAAACATCAAACTATAGTCAGACAGCATAGCTGAAATTTGTTAATTTTGCGACAAAAATAAATTCGCTCCGGTCAAGTTCTCTTTTTGTATAATTCTTATATTTTTCAATGGGATATGTCTCATTTTCTGAGTTATGCCTGCTATTGTTGTTGCTTTTGTCCTGTGCAATTTAATTAAGGTATATAGTGACTTGAAACATTATACAGTCCAATGACAAATATGGATGGATGCGATGATTAAAACAGTTCATTGTAGTGCCTCTGGTCTATTATCAGTGCGTCTCGTGGTTGATGGGTTTTCAGCTCTTACGGATGGTGCAACAAAGCAATGTCATCAACAATTACATGGATAACATATTATCAACAAAAGCTTCTAGTTTTTTGTCATTAGGCATATCTTGTATCAAAGCCGCAGTAAAGTAATCGGCTTATGTTTCTGCTCTATGAAAGACCTATCAACTGATGAAACCACCTGCTAACATCACTGCCACTTTTCTTATACTCTTTTGAATGTCCCATAGATTTGTCATCTTACGCCACATGCCTGACTCCAGATTAAAACGACATGCCTTGAAAAAACTCTTTCACGACGATATGCGATTTTTTTTTAATAACATGGACAGCAGTTAAATTAATTCTGAGATTATATTTTCGACAAAACTCCTGAAACAAAGACAAATAAATGCGGTAAGTCTCGTAGCTTAGCAACATGTCCATTTCCAAATCGGTGTATTGTATATAGTTGTTGAAAATAGGTTGGACAGCACTTGAATTTTTTATCAACAAATACATCTTCTGCATCCAAATAAAGAAACCTGTTGTTAGCTTCACAACCAAGAACCACAGGAAATCAGGCGCAAAAACATTTCGTATTTTGACACTATTGATACATTTGAAAATTATATTTGGCGCAAGTGATATATCTTGTTACTAGTAATTGGCGCAAAACGACTGCAGCCAAATACACCATATGCAAAACAATATTTTTTGCAAATCAAACAGATAATTCAACAGATATTTCCCATGTGACACATGTATTGTGTTGATGGCTAGCTGCCTCCTTGACGTATATCAACATCTCCTTTCGTTCAATAATAAACTTTCAGCAGTTTTAATTTCTGAATGTGTTAAAGAATTGGGCTATATAGAAAATACCATAAATTAAGATTGTAAGTGATATTCTATCAATAAAATGTGTCGCATATTCTATCAATAAAATTTGTCGTATATTCTATCAATAAAATTTGTCGCCTATATTCTATCAATAAAATTTATCGTATTTTCTATCAATATAATTTGTCGTATATTCTATCAATAAAATTTGTCGTAAACACATAATTGCTTCAACTTACATTTCTTTACTTAACAGTTAACTGTAACTAGGGTGCAAAAATTTGTATTTTCCGTACCTTTTTACTACTACCACTAAATAGAGTTGAAGGCCGACTACCCTTGAGTGTAATTGTACCAGGTTGCCTTATATATTCAAAACATTTTAATTTTTTTTTTTAACTAATTGGAAATTCAAAATAAACCCTGTATAATCTTTCGTTTTGGAGTTGTGTGATTTTTTTCCCATAAACTTTATTTTAATATAATAAAAGTTTTATTTGTGTGTTTCACTGAACATATCTTATGTTCTTACTGTAGGAACAAAATTTGTTCAAAGAAACATTGCTGTGCACTTGTTGTGCTTATTTATATTACCTAAAAGTTAAACCTATTATATTCGTAGCTCAAATAATCTGTTAGACAGATTTTTATTTGTTATGAATATCATATATTCTCGGAAGTAAATTTTCTAGGTATAAAACTCCGAGAAGGGGTGTACTATACTACTAAATAGAGTTTAATGGCGACTATCTATGCAGTAATTGCATCATATACCTTACTTTTTATTAAAACATATTTGAATGTTTAAAAAAAAATAATGTTAAATGGTTACTAATCTGCACATGAGTTTGGCATATTCTCGTGAATATATATCTATATATTACAAAAATTGATATAGTAAGTAAGTAAGGGAGTAAATAGTTTATTATAGTACCACAATCTAATAAACTCTATCATACACAGTTTTAAAACCTTTAAAATCATATTAGATTCATGCCTTTAAGACATATGAGACACTTTCCATCCTTTTCAAAATAAAAATATATGCTATAATAAAATATTAAAAATCAATGATTAAATAATAAAATATAATAGTCAGTTTTCATTTGATACTTAAAATTTCAAATACTCGTTAAAATTCATTTATATATTCAGAAAAGATTACAAATTTACATCTTCCCGCGCGTTTAAACATAAGATGCAATGTCTTTGCTAATAAAACTTGAGTATCATCACAGTTCATAATAAAATCAATTTAAATAATCTTACTTCTTCTTCTTTGGTGTATTCGGTAGGCGGCTTTCCTGATGGAACTTGCGGCCTACTTATTACTTATTATACATAGAAAAAATGCCTTAGTGTTACGTGTTGTTTCGCGAGTGTTCTAAAGTTGTGAGTTTTTTTTTAAGTGTTTACAATGTTGTGAAGTTGTGCTTAGATAAAACTCTACAGATTTTTTAAATGTGTATAATGTCATTGATGGTTGAATAGAAGCTAATTGTATAGATAATTGCTTCGATATTTGAGGTAAAAATAGCCAATAAATAAAATAAATAACAAAAAAAAGACAAACGAATGAATCTGAATGTCCATCGTGAAGATGGAGATTAGATATTGCTTCCTGATAGTCCGTATAGTCATATTTAATGAAAAAAAACAAAAGACTAACTGTATATGTCAAATAAATAGAATTTTAAACATTTATAAATAAATAATAAAGTTGTCACCTAGTTCTTTCACCTACTAATGTAATCATACCTATTGTTTTAAATCTTTTATATATCTTAATTAACTTAATTGTAATTGACATCTGAAAATGAGATAATCTGAGTAGTACTACTAATTAGTTTGTCAGTTGGTTGAGTAGTACTTTGACTCAGATGGAAAGGGTTTATAAATACGAAAAATACACAAGAAATTTCAAACGGCATACGACTGAAAAACCTGCAAGATGGACAAGAATATACAAAAATTGTGTTTTATTATTTTAGCTACATTAGCTTGTGATGTTTATAGTACAACTATGGGAGAAGGCAACTGTAAGTGTATAATTTTTCATTTAAGTTGCAGTTGCAACTAATTTAAACATTCTAATTTAATTTTTAAATATTCCAAATCCCAATTGCAAAATGTGTTTATAAATGGCTATTTCATCAAAAATACGAAACGATGGTTCACATAGCATTATTCCTTCCATAACAGGTTTGTTTTTGTTTTGTTTTTTTTTATTAGAAAGGATTTAACTTTTTTCATTTTTCTACTGGGTACATATAAAAATTAACAACAGTAGTAGCGAAGAACATAGAGTTTTACTATTTATGACTTGAGTTATGCCGCTTTGTTCGACGGACAACGCTTTAAACAACCGAAAACTGACGAAATTGAAAAGCACGCATTTTTTTTTATTTGTGTCGCCTTAATCCGCCTCAACATACGTGTTTGCCAAACTTAAATTGAACAACTAACACACTTATGTGTTGGATACATGTAAACTGAAAAAAATAATTTGGTGAGTCCCAGATGAAATTATGAAAATATTGATAAGTTAAAAAACCTTGAAAGAACGTAAAATAAAATCAGAACGAAAACAGCACGGTACTGTTAAAGAAACAACTCGTAAAACAGATAAAAAGTACAAGTTAAAGGACAGCAATAATGAACACGTGATACTTATATCTTTTACGGTCATGGCGGAACATAGAACTCCATAGATTTTCTCTAACTGTGAAACATATAAAATTATTTGAGATTTTTTATAATACTAAATCGTGATTTTTTTTTTTACAGCTAGTCCGAAATTTAGCGATGGACTTCCAGAGTCTGTTGAGATCAGTGGTCATCTTGGAAAACACATCAAACTTAGGTGTAAAATAGAATCCAATCCGGGATCTTTTATTATCTGGTATAAAGAAGAAGAAGAAATCAAATCTACAAAAAGGTAAGAAGAATGCATGAAAACACTTAGTCCAAATAATTACGACGTCTTGAAAGGCTGTTTTATTTTTTGCTGTTGCGCTTCTTACGAACATTCTTTATTATTATATTCTATTCTACCATATAGTGACCGCCTTCAACAAATTGAAGATTATGTCACAGGAGGAAACTTACAGCAAGACATAGATTGATATATATACAATCTTTAAAAAATACGAAAAAATTAAAAAATGCTTTGTATAATTAAGTATGATGTAATAGTTGAGTTAATATTGATTACTTATTAAACATGGTATGGAATAAAACACAATATATATCTTCTCGACCATGACCAATCTAGAAGTCAATGCCCGCCTCACTTGTACCACACCCATCAACTTAAGATAACATTGTGAAAAGGTGTTAAATTTCCCATGTTTTATTGTAATTGTTCAATGGTACAATTTGAATTTGTACTTTTTTCAAGAGCTGGGGTATCACTACCGCGTATTTTAATGTACTTAATAGCCTTAACTTGCTGAGCAATTGAAATAGGGTAGAAGTAGTCAATTTTGTTGCCGCTTTCATATTCCGTAATTGTATCATTCAGAAAATTGTCCTAACTTTCTCCGCTGGAAGAAATCGCAATGCAAAAAATTTCAAAACAACATTTCAATTTTGTTTTTTAATAAAATTGTAAAACAAACACACAAACGTAATCACTTTTCAACCGGTTTTCGCGCAAACGTAACATTCCGCTACATATCATGTACACAATGTTACCTATCATTTTCGTCTATAATACTAACCTTTAAGTAAAATGGAGTATATCTTTTCAAGCGTGTGCATTCATGCAGATAGCAAATCAGTAACCCTCTCCCCAAAACAAAAACAAAAAGAAAGAAGGCAAACTCGATCTTTATCATTTTGAATATTTTTTTACGATTCTTAGATTTTTTTAATTCATGTAACATTTAAAATGGGCACTATCATACTTTATAGACTGTTTGATGAATTTATAGTGAAGTTTTGTTTTTCTTACAGGATCCGCATCTATAAGAACTTCGTGTTGATAAAGAATTTCAGAGCCGAAGATGCCAAAGAATATTTCTGCAAAGGCACAAATCCTTTCGGGTACATTGTCCGAAGATTTTTTGTTTCTCTGTCTGAAAATAAACTAAAAAATGGTAAGAACCTATCTGCAGTAATTTTATGGTATACCCTTTACGTTCATATCTATAATTCTATGTAAGGGCACGAATGATACGATATATATAGTATTGTCGATAGCCCAGCAAGTAAAGTGGCCTTTGCGCATCTAATTTCAATTGAGAATTTATTGGGCCCGTCCTATAAGCTATGGTTCATTGACTTTGGAACATTTGCAGGCAAGGCATTATCCAGTCTGTGTCAAACCTATTTTGTATAATAAAACACATTCCTTAAACGGATTTGGCTATTTTTCTTATGTCTTTTTTTTTTTTATTATATCGCTCTTAAACTCTTTTGGATCTTAAACATCTTTGGCTTTCAAATATTCGGCATTGAGTGCATGATCCTGATGACGATAAATCTAGAAAAGCGCTTCGGACGCATGCAATTCATATAGTGTTAATTTCATTTTTTGCGTTTTATTGCAGATACAAAAGAAGAATTGGACTTGATGAAGAACCAACTATCAAAATTAACAAGAAAGTTTGAAGACTTTTCTAATAATAATCTACACATACATATAAACAAAGACAACGACGCCGAGGATCAGTCAACAACAATGAAAGGACAACATATTTTTCTGAATTTAATTTTGAATGAGAAAGACTCACATCAAGATAAATCTATTGATGAAGGCAAGTATTTTGATTGGTTTTGCATTCTTGGATCTTGAGTTATAGTATCCCACAGCATGATATTGATTCATTTGCTTTCGTTTTGTCGGATTTAAGAGATTTCCTGAGCTTATTTTGTATAGATTAAAAGGACTATAAATAAAACTTCCTGTCTTATGTCTTTTGCTTACTTTTTCGAAAGCTAATTCAAACCCTGTTGCTTATAATTATCCTTCAATTCATTTTAAATTTGGTTTACATCTGCTTCAGGAACTATATCTACATTTTTTATTGGGGAAACGTTTCCCGATTTAACCATTAATTCGGAAATAAAAAAAAGCTGTCGCTCTTCCATATTCATACTGATTCATAACATGCATTTACACGTAATACTATATATTTGAATTCCAGAGATCCATGCGAACTGTGAAATGGCAACCAACAATAACTTTGAAGATTTTGGTCAAATCAAAGGGAACGTGTACTTAGTACAAAAGGTATGACTTGAACAAATTACCAATACAATCGACAGACCTCGGGTGAATTCGTTTCACTTCCTGATGGAGGTACGGAATTTTGGTATTTTATGATAAAAATAATAGTGAGGCCCAGCAAATTTTCTTCAAAGCATGTACAAATTATTTCAAGAACTCGGTTAAACTCCACTGGTGTATCAATATATGGAAAGTGGTGTTCAGACACATGCTGTATCGGAGTTCTTTTCCTAATAACTGTAGCCTTTTAAACTTTTGTCGTATTAGGATAGCAACAATTAAAACCTTCTTCATGTTATGTGCATCTTTTTCAATATACTGGTATCATAGAAATGTTAAATGCACCACATATTCATTGATATAACCTGATTTTAACTCGAGGCAAACAACGACCCTGTAAAGAATTGTTACACGGCTGATTATGAAAAAGGAAGACAAAAATTGTCACAAGGACTTTAATCTCATACAATTTGCTGAAAAATGAACTGCAACTTATTCGTAAAAAACATGTCGTTACATACTTTTTTTTTATCTCATTACAGGAGAATGGTCCAGTTCATGTTGATATACATATGAGCGGATTTGAAATGGAAGAAGGAAAATCACACAAACATAGCTTTTTCCTTCACGAATACGGAGACATGAGAAGATCATGTGATTCCCTTGGTCAAATATACAATCAAAACAAACGCAGGTCAGTAAAACTTGATTAAATATTTCAATTCTAATATATGGGTTTGACCAAAAGATTACAATAATGCATTTTGCCGTTGTTGCTTAATAACTGAAAAAGCGAGGCAAAACATATCAAAGGGACATTCAAACTCATAAGTCGAAAATAAACTGACAACGCCATGGCTAAAAATGAAAAAGACAGCAAACAACAGTACACAAAACTAAACATAGAAAACTAAAGACTGGGCAACACGAACCCCACCAAACACTGGGGTTGATCTTAGGTGCTCCGGAAGGGTAAGCAGATCCTGTTCCATATGTGGCACCCGTCGTGTTGCTCATGTTAGTACAAACCCGGTGATAAGTCTTATTCTTTAGGTCACATTCTGTGAAAAAGGGAAGGTAACATTCTACAGAAATGTTATGCATATTCTAACGCCGCTTCTTGTGTATTGTTTGCTGTCGCTTAGGTGTTTTTCTCTAATAAATGAAGGTCTGGATGGGGTTTATAGAATATTGAATAATGGGAGAAAATAAAAGAGTAAAAAAATGGAATAGAGAAAAATGAAATGCTAAAATAAAAAGAGTGGAGAAAATGGCCTTCAGAATTGAAGAATACAGAAATGCAACGAGGACCCCTTCCCCAAATCCAGACCCTCATAAATACATAGCATGGACTTATTGCGTTTTTCTTAGATAAAATTAGTGTGAAAGTATAAGTTGTTCCCTGAACACCTAGGTTCTTCATTTTATCGTGTTTATACCTTAATCGCCATTTTTTGTTAAATTAACTGTTTCGAAGAAAATCCTGTTATTGATTTGTGGGAGAACGGCTGATGTTCCAACAGACTGGTGTGTAGGACGTCCGTAAGTTGGCGTGCGGCTATGTCTGTTTCAATGCAATAACCTAAGAACGTTCAAACAATGCTTTTCAAATTTAAATATGTTGTTAATGATTACAAAATGTAGGTTATGTTCAGTATTGACTACTTTCGTTGTTATCTTTCGGGGGATTTGCTCCTTGCTTGATTGAAAAAAACACTTAACGTCAATTCCGTGCTATGACTTGAAAAAGCTTGATCCATCCCCTATCAAGTCTTAACATATCGTTTCTCGTGACCAAATAGAAGTTAGGATTGGTGTTCACCATTTCTAATTTTATCGTTCAAGAGTAATGACCCTTGATTCCTTGAATTATAAATTTTTGTAAAACCAGTTTTGCGGTCATTTTGACAGTCATTTAATACTTTTTTAATATGTATCAGTATCTTTTCATGTGTTTCCCTGAATCTTGAAGTGTTTGATCTTATAAAGCGAAGGGTACCGTTTGTCGCTGATACTTCTGTCTTATAGTATAACAGACTTAAACAATGGGAGTTAAGTATTGAATGTCACAGTAAAAAACTTACTCATCTTAAAGCAAATACAGTAATGATATTTTATGAAATGACGAGCATCTTTTTGATTTGCAGACACCACAGCAGTCGAAATAGCATTATGTGTGACGACGAAGGAGAAGTTCACCTGAAGTACACGGACAAGTCACTGTCTCTACATGGAAAGCATTCTGTGATCGGGCGAAGTTTTGTCGTAAGTATAGATTTAGCTGTTAGTACTATTGTATGAAGTAAACAATGAAAACACTTAATAAATAACATGCGTCCGAAGCGCTTTTCTGTCTGATTTACTTTCATCAAGAACGTCCAAAGCCGAAATATTTGAAAGCCAAGGATGTATAAGAACCGAACCAATGACAAAAATAACCTAAAATAGCCCTATCCAGCTACGGTCTACTTTGCCTGAGAGGAGTTAAAACCTTTATCTTTTTAATAATGTTTAAGTAAGTGGCGGATTAAAAAGGGGGGTTAAGGGCATATAACCTAAAATATTAAAAAAATATCATACACCGAATTTTCTGAGCTTGTATATCAATTTTGCGAATTTTAGAATCCCCATTTTTCGGTTAAAAAGCCAAAAATTTGAAAACCAATCATCTTTCAGACAGACTTGCGTTTTATTATAATATAGTATTTTGGAATATTTGAAATATGACAGGAAAAGGGTAATCGAACAATCACGTGTCGGAAATATCTAGAGATAGAATAAAGCTATAGTATTTTTTTTTACAAAAACATCAATCATATATAGGAATAGAAGTCTTTGGGCAGATGATAATTCTAAATGATACAAAAACATTAGATATATATACAGATTGATTTTCTTATTATTCTGCGTTTACTTTCTATCAAATTTGATAAGAAAACCCAATAGTACTGTTAGGAGTATGTCTTTAACACGGGATTTACTAGCAAGGAATGCTTTTTTTTTTATACGGAGTGTCTATTTTCGGCTAGCCGGGAGACCAGGTAAAAATCTCTATTTTTCCGGCCATCCGATTACTCTTGCGCAAATGTTCGATATGAACTGGAATGTCATGTTGTGAAATGTGTCTTGGATGAGGAAAAAATTACTTAATACTTCTATTTATCTATTTACAGATTCATGATGATACAGAGGGAAGGAGAATTGCTTGTTGTGTTATTGGAAGAGCTGAAATTCATGACTACGATGAAATGGACATGGAAAAAATTCATTTTAATGAAGAATTGATAGAGCATCATGATAAGACCAGCGAGGAACCAATTCCCTTCAGACCTAACCCCAGGTTTCCAGACAGGGATGCGACGGAGGAACCAATTCCCTTCAGACCTAACCCCAGGTTTCTAGACAGGGATGCGACGGAGGAACCAATTCCCTTCAGAACTAACCCAAGATATCCAAACAGGGATGCAGCATATTTTATCGATCACGAATAATAACTAAGACAAAAAATCATGTAAATGAATGAAATACAGAAATCCTAACGTTATTAATGGCAATCTTAATTGAGGGTTGAAAATTGTGTTATCGGTTATTTAGATCGTCAAACAGACACACGTTTAAATGTTTTTGATTGTACTTTTTACATCTCAGGGTTTGGATGGGTTTTACAGAATAGATCATAATAAGCAAAATGTGTAAAGAATTGAGAAAAATGGTTTAAAAATTTAAGAATACAAATTGAAGGACCCCCATCCAGGCCCTCAAATTTGTAACCTAGATTTTAGTACCCAGTAAAATCTCGTCAACCGTTTGAATAATACTGGTTATCGTGATTAAATAATTAACTTTACTGTAAATATTTGATGTTAAAATTCAACAATTTTGTTTTATGTCCAATTCTTAAAATTACACTTCGTTTTATACAGATGAATGCAATGATTGAACAAAATGCAGACATTTAATTCTTTGTAATCTTAAATTTTTTAAAAATCGTGTTTTTATTTTTAAGAAGGGAACGTTTTATGAAATAATGATTTAACTATAGTTAGAATTAAATATTTTATGACCATACTTTTATAACCCTGTATTAAAAAGAGTCTTGTGTTGTATAGTTGTTTATATTTGATTGCAGTTTTGTTTACATTTTTTTAATAAAAAAAATCGTTATAACTATTTATAATTATCTTTTTTTATCTACATTTGACAACGATCGAAAGAGCTTGTCTAGAAAAGACAACTACAGAGAGTTTGAAAATATATTTGATTTTTATGTATTTGCTTTAAAGTATCTATACTCAGCAACATAGATAACGCACCACTTCTTTCTGCATACAGTTGTTTCATAATTTCATTGTTTTTTATTAAACAAATTGCAAACCTTTAGTATCTTTTAAGTATAACCTTAAAATTAATCTACGGTTTACACGGAAATTTTTGTTTTAGTGGCAACAATGTGAATTTCATCCAAAAAAGTTAAAATGAAAACGGTGATTAGTCAAATACAGATTGGTCATTAGAAAAAAAGATCGATTAAGGAACTGAGCATCATTGTAATTTTCGTTGTTTACAGGTGAAAAGATACACATGACTAGTTTTCACAAATTTTTCAACTTTTTCTTTTTTTGGTTAGATATGGGTGTCTTTTAGGAGTTAAAAATGTAAAATTCTTAAAAGATCATTTTCGCAAATCTCAAGAAATATTGTTTCAACATTTTGACTATTTTCAAACATGCACTTTTCAGAAGTTGTATACAATAGAAATAGAAATAAGTTCCAACGAGATAATGGAGGTGGTCCGTTTCTTAAGTTGTTGAGTATAGATAAATAAAATGACCCACGCTATTATAAAATAAGTTAATTCAGTATTACTGTGGATATTGCTCATGTTAAGAGTAAAATACTGAGTTTATGTGTAAGGGTTCTACATGTTGCTTCATTTGTGCGACTGTTTTTTTTTTAAACCAAAGGAGATGTGAGGTATGTGTTAGTATGACAGCAACCCAACGACACAAAAAACAAAAGGAAATATATATATGTAAAAGACAGGAGTCTATACCGCATATCAAGCTCTATATTTTCCTTAGTTTTAAAAAGTTTTTAATGCATTAAACAGAAACCAATAAAAATTCGTCAAATTACAATACAATGTGGCGTCATTGACGAGGTTCTTGACTTGGGACAAGCGCATGCATATATGGTTAGAATAAAGTAATTTTACCCTTTAATCTCTTGTATATGAAGATATCAAATTCAGCTGGATAAGGAAAAAATGTAAACTAATAATTTCAAAATAAAATCACATAGAAGATATAATGATTTGTGGAGCCCTTTTATTCGTATATTTGCGTATGTACCATACAATATCAATTGAAGTCTATTTTAGTATTGCATACTCTCAGACACCATGCATTACAGATGAAACAATATACATGCAGTCAAACGAAAATGGAAGTTAAATACCAAGGACATGTAAAACTAATATATACATTCACTATATGCTTATAGTACTAACACAACGATGTTATTTAGCACCTTAACAGTAAATAATGAAAGCAAATTATATATTTTGTGATCAGACAGATATCCAATATAATATTTTTGAATATATCTTTTGACATTTTTCTAGCCAAAATCTTGCTTTCAGCATAAGGGTAACTCACTTTTAGTAAATGACCAATATACCTAGAAAATGTTGAAAGACAAGTCTTAGAGAACAGTATTTATTTATTAGTTGTAATTGGCTTTGAGCTAGCTTTCAGTAACTGCAAGTACTATTATGCTTTGTGTCTATTGTTTTTATGTTTTATTGGGTTTTTATCGTGTGTTTTGTGCAGATTTATTAAGTCAAGCCATTTGTAACTGATTATATAACAGGATGAGTGTCGAGCGCCACATTCTTTATGGGCTTGTCACAAGTCAGAATTAAAGCCTGTAATTCAGAGATTGTCTGTCATATTTGTTTTTTTTTTTTGTAAATTGTATTGTAATAGATTAGGCTGTTAGTTTGTACAGGCTTCACATTTCATGTCGAGACTATTTCTAGGGTATGATTTATTCTCATTGTTGAAGTGAGTACGGTGACCTATAAGTGCTATATATATCTTCGTCATTTGAACTCTGGTGGTTAGTTGTCTCATTGGAAATCATACCCCCATCTCATTTTTATAGTAATATAAAATGCTGATTGAATTATTTTTTGGTTAATATTTTATAACTTAGAATAACAATTATATCTATAAACACTTTTGTATGAAAACTCTAACCAAGATGTCATTTGACCTACATTTATTATGGTGAAATTGCTGAAAGACCGCACTCCTGGATAACTGAAATCTAACCTATTGCGTTTGCCATAATATATTGGTGTAAATATGATACAACACATAGGGTTAACGTCCTCAATACATATTGACAAAAGATCATATTAATAAATGCTGAGCTTCATTTACAGAGTCTCGTACCGTGATAACACTTTCATACCAGTCTATAATTAACGACTAGTATTTAGTTTGCAAAACACATACTTACAATTATCTATAGGTTTAATTTACTAGTATTACAATAATCTTTATTATTAGATCGGAATCACAATAAAACTTGACACAACCATTATGTTGAAAACGAATGGCGATTGAAATTTATATTTGCTTTGTCAATTGTTGAGGAGTCCTAAGTGCTTACAACAGACGATGGGCGCCAAATGAACGCAAAGGACTTTATATGGTCACAGTGTTCTAAGACTTGATTTTGCTTCACTACCGCTTTGCCGTCATCATTGCTGCATAGTTTTTCCAGTCTCCTGTCGTGTCATCTGACTCAATGTCTCGACACAGGCATGCTAAAGTTAACAAGTAATTCCTGGTTAATATTCGTACATGTGAAAAAAAAATCTATGTTGTGTTTTGTGGGTTTTTCTTTTCACCTTGGTGTAGTGTGTATCTTTTTTAATCCCGTAAGGCGTAATATCTTATTTCTATTTGATAAACTTTGAATGGTCATATTTGTATTTTTCAACAGAAACTGGTATTTAACTCCCCAAGACAAAGCTGGCATTACAAGGGCATGCTTGGTTAAGATCATAGCGCGTCATATTATATCTTCAACTTGCGCATTCTTAACTAGACTGTTTACCCTTAAAAATGATTGCTGGCGTAAGGAATTTGGTATTTGCTTTTGTCAGTCTTTAGAACTTGTTTTCTTGTATGAGAAAACTTTTCATGTGTGACATCATGAACATTGGCTTTAGTTTTCGAAACCATAGTCACGACCATGTATTTGATCAAGAGTATACCTTGGATTGAAAGTAATATACATCTTCTGTTACGAACATTACTACTGGAAGTTAATCGACACTCCCAACTTATGTTCAATATTGGAAAGATGAGATTATACTGTAATTTTATTTAGACTTATCACAGACGATGCGATCATCGTTTATAACTGCCTGATATACTGAGTACATGTTTTGCCATTTAATTTTATGTCCAGATATTAAGGATTTTAATGAACAACCAAATGGTTCGGGCGTATTGAATGTCATGTCATTCCGATGAATGTGAAATATTCCTGCAGCTTTGGCACAAACACCAGTAATAAATACATCCTCCAGCCAAAAGTATTTTGATGATTTCGTAGCATTATAAAGTTCTGATAAAACGGAAATAGAAATGACGTATGAAGTTCCTGATAAATATGGTGGATAGTAAACTTCCGGGAATGTATTTTTCGGTGTATACCATTTGGAGCTTTTATCTTGCACGGGTTTAGCTCCACTAATTAAATTGCCCATAAGGAATTTCGTTAAAATCTGTTTATTAAGTGCTTTAAACAAATTTGGAATGTTTATATACATATCATCGTCTGTTTTCAACAAAAAATTGGCATGGCTGCAATATGTCTTTACCCAATGCAACATGTATATCGATTTCAAAGTCAAATTTCGATACGAATCGATAAAATCGCCTTGCACTATATCTTTATATGTTGAAATTTCTTTGGAAAATGTGATATTTATTTTGGAAAACCGACTCTGTAACCATGTTCCTACTAAAAATACTAATTTAACACTTTCATTTTCTGCACTATTTCCCCATGTCTCTCGAATAGCTTTTCTTTGTTTGAAATGATCTAGACTTGAGCAAACAACAATGATTAGATCCACATTTCGTTGATTACACTTAAATGGTTCGTTAACGATGTATCTTTCATGTTCCTCGCCATCCTCTGTTTCTTTTACGTTTAGTTTAGTCTGTATCCGCCCATCAGAGTGATGTTTTATCTTTATATATTCCGCCCGTAGATTGGTAAAGGCTATGTAGAGTAATAAATTTCCTAAACAAACACATGTTAGTATTGTTATGCATACATTATTTTTCTTTCGATGTATGCGCCACATTCTGAAAAGAAAATGTTGAAATTAGTAGTAACTCAATTTATGAATAAACAATTCTAAATGTATATACGACCTAACGGATTTTATAAAGACTTATACAAATATATAGAAATAAAAAAAATATATATATATTTTCCCAAATCAAACAAAGGAAATAAAAAGTCTTAGGAAAAAAGGCTGATTTTTTTATACCTGAGATTACAAACGAAACAAGTTTAGTCAAGTGCTTTATAGAGATCTAAAAGTCGAAACAACAGCAAACCCAGGAGTCGCTTGGTCATTTTTCAATATTCAATATACGTGCACTCTCGGGAAATATAAAATTTATTTGCACAAGCTTCTGAAAATGGGCTTGCTTTCCGAGATTATCTTGTGTTTTGCATACATGGAATTCGAAATCTTTGTTTTGCTCCCATATAAAAAGTATAATTTATTTAATCATACAATCGACCAACTATTGTACAAAACACAAATATACAAATAGTTTTTTACTGTGAGTAGTATATTTAACAAATAAAGACTTCATGCAGGGACCTGTTTTCCTGCTTCTATGTTGATCGAAAGGTTACTGCTTACGTCACCGATCCTTTTGAGGCTCTCTTTGCGGTCCGCGTTAAGCACTTCAAACAATTATAGATATTTTTCTATATATCCTGTAATTTATCAAGGACGCTTAAATGTTCAATATCCTCTTCCCATCGAACTGTTAATCATCTCATTAGTCGGTACTTCGGTTCTGACATGATGTATAACATACATTTCTTAAATCGGTAGTTTCTAAATTGATAAATTATTATGAAACTATAAGATTCCAAGTCCCATACGCAAAGTTGACTTTAGATGGATTTGGCTATTATTTTGGACCTTTTAGGTCATATGGCTCTTCATCTGTTTCGGTTCTTACACATCCTTGGCTTTCGAATATTCGGCTTTGAGCGTTCATGATGGCGATAAATCCAGAAAAGAGCTTCGGCCTCTTAAAATTTATAAAGTGTTATTTTCATTTTTTTTTTTTTAATTTTGTGATTTGTTTTGTTTGTTTAGTTTTATATTGTTTTTTTTTTGTTTTGTTTGTTTAGTTTTATATTGTTTTTTTTGTTTTTTTGTTTTGTGTTATTGGTTTTTTGTTCTGTTTTGTTTTGTTTCCTTTTTGAAAAAAGAAACATTTTCGGACGCGCGATTGAGCTATGACATTGACCGTTACCGTTCACTCACAACAGAAGCAGGATACCAGGAGACGATGTTGTATAAGACAGTAAACAAAAACTTGCATGATTAACATAATATTGGGTTATTATTTTACTGGTTATTATAATCATGGAATTGTATATAAACAATATTCATTGATATAAATAAATATTATATTTTTTCACGATTGTGTTTTACCCCTAGTGGAGGACAAATGAAGATATAGTTCTTTCACGAATGGAAGACATTGTAAATAGAAAGACGTATTTTACAATACAACTACATGTAGGAGTTTAGTAAAGTCCGGATTGCAATCGCCATTTTTTAAAAGATGATTGGTTTATAATCTTTTTCCGGAAAGTCAATTCGTACATTAAATTTTAAATTTGCCTTGGATCCAAATAGTTGAAAGTTAGGTTTTTTAGATACAAATATCATTAAAATATAATTTCTATCCGATTTAAAGATTTAAGAATGTACAATATATACATACTACCAGGAGTAATGTACGCCTATTTTTAAAATATATTAAGGGGGTCTAATTTTTCGATATGTATATAATTATTTAAGCCATCTTCCTCTTTTGTCTAATTTTTCGATATTTATATAATTATTTAAGCCATCTTCCTCTTTTGTTTTCCCCCAATTATTTTCTCCTTTTTTCAGGAACCCATAATTCTCTATTCCGTAATTGTTTGCCCCTTTTCTCTCTAGTTTTATTGTTTGTAATTTTAATATCTATATAATTATTCTGTAAACCTCATCAACCCCCTCATGTATACTTGGAAACCCAAAAATTAGTATGAGCATCAAAATCAAAAGAACCAAAATAGTTCAGCAAAAGCTTTTGCCTAAGGCATTTGAAAATATAAATTTAGCTGACATTACAAGAAATTTTAGACAAAATACTCAGTTGCGAATGTACCAAAAACATTAAACAATTCCTTGAATTTAAGACATGAGCCTTTATTATATCTTAACTATGATAAGTATGCCCGTTATACCTCATAGGTATTTCTTATCAGATAAGGAAAAGGTTATAATTGTCTATTTGCCAAATTAATCTTCATTGCATTATATATACTGTCTGGCATCTGGTCAATCAGTGGTCAGTTCTGTGGTCAATAATAACCAAATGCTTTAAGAACTTTACAAATAAAACATGGGTATTAACAGTAAAAAGTATATTTTTGTTTCCCACAGATACTGCAAACCACTGAATTTTATCTTTTTTTATTGATATGAAAGCCTCGAGTCGGTTTCACAAAAAAAATTACGACTAAGATTAATCGTAAGTCATGAACAATTCAGTATACTTACGACTAATCTTAGTCGTAAGTGTTTTTGTGAAACCGACACCTGTATTGTCGATTAATGCCAACGGCTTTTTCCCTGTTACTAAGGACAACACTCATTCCTATGCCGACGAGGACACAACATTTCAATGAATTTTTCACCTCTCTGAAAATACGAGGATATTTTGCAACAATATATAAAGGAGATGTGCTTAATAATATGCAATTTTATCCAGTAAAATCGCAATGATCTCCGGTAAAAAAATAACGGTCATTTACAAATTATCGCTTCTGTCAAGTTCTTCACTGAAGACAATTCCTAGGCTACTAATTGATTAAATACGCTGTAAAATATACTATTCTAAATATGGAATTACTACAGCCTCTTGTAATATTGCAGAAGGTGAACAATATGTTTCACGCAGTCCGAAACATGTGAAAGAGATAGTCCAATTTATCATGAACTATTTCACACCAGGGACATTTAAAATGAGTTTATTTTTAAAGGTTTTATGGATGTATTTTAAATTATTGAGAATTATTTTACGGGGACATTTTTCAGACTCTCAAAAATTCAACTTCTAAAACGTTACAATAACTTTACTATTTTCACCCTGGGAGTGAGGCAAATACAAGCGAAATTGCATGGCTCTACCTCTTTATGGCTACTCAAGAATTGTGGCATTAACGCTGCATTGGCTCATTACATAAATTACCATGCTTTATGCTCAAAACGAATTATCAACTGTTTACTTTTTCCGTTTTGTATTGGGACTCTTCAAATAGTCCTGATACTAGATTCTATTTCAGATTTTTCGCTCATTGCAATAACAAGAAAAGGAAACATCGTATTTTTATGACAGGAATTTGAAGGAAAAGAATATTTAAGAAGTATTATAGTTTTCTACAATTCTAACTGAATATCTGGTAAAAATAGCATTTTGATACATTTCATTTCCTCAAACATGCCAGTTGTAATTATTACTTTTAAGTATATATTAACTGATAAAAGATAACCTTTATGATTAAGTAAGATATTTTATGACTCCCGGGAGATGTATTTCATTAATATTATCTGATTTTGTTAAGTGGTCATGAAGCAAGACACCAGCGAGTTAATCAAACTATGTAAACAAACAAAATTATCGTAACGCTATGAAAAAAATGTATTCCTTTCTTTTATATACATTTTGCATCGAAATACTCCACACAAGCAAAATTAAAGAAAAATGAAAAGAAAAGAAAACCTAAAAATATCAAAGAATAATTACTAACAAAAATTTTAAAGCACAATATGAAAAGAAAAGAAAAAGAAAACAATTATTTAGAATTAAATCAAGCAAATTTATTTAATAAAAGAAGTGGAAAGAAAACATAAAACCATATTGTAGAACAAAAAAAAAGAATGAATGAAAAACATAAACACACACCAAAAAAAGGAACCCAAAATAAAAATTAAAATTATACTTTCTTAAATCAGGTATTTAAAAATAAAATGATGAATATCGTATACATTGTATATGTAATTAAGTAACTTACCTTTCAACAATAATTACAATAAATTTTCACGTCCATTTATCAAAAATGATATACTCCGAGCATTTAAAGGAAAAATATAAACTCGTCTAGAGAGGTGCAGAATTTTATCTCATTTCTGATCTCAGCATGTAATTCTTCAAATACAAATTACGATTGAAATGTGATATTCCTTGAAATTAGTTTCCATGGTATTTAAGTTTGAAATACTTAAATCTTATTAATCATCACATGGCATTCTAAGCTGGAATAACACTGCATGCTTACTGTAGGATCTTTGTCAAGATTACTGTTATTTTTATTCGTAAAACGATGTTACAAGTTCGTTTAGCAGGCTCCTTGCCTACAAACATCAATTTTCTTTCACGCTTCAGTGTATTTTGAGTGATAACGCCAAGAGGAAATCTCTTTACCATATCTCGTTTATGCATTTCTTTATCTTGTTTTGTATGCATGAAAATTGACATGTAGCGAATGGTAATTGAATCAGTTGATGCAGTTTCCTGCAGTTATTGAATTTACATGTCGCATTGACACACACAAAATACTCGCATACATTCTAAAACAAAGTTTATAGTCATTTATCTGATTTATAAGTGTGGGAAACATTGGTTCGATCCCAGGACGGGTTGAAGCAAAAACCATTTGACAACCGATTTCAGTCACTGGCAGATTGAAGCCAGGATATCAAATTCGCATTTGCTGACCCACTGCTAAACACCCGCCATTTCAAAGTAGGAGAAAATAATTTAAAGGTATATCGGTCTATCCCGGATAAATTACTTATCTCTTTTTTTTTAGCAAGCACGTTAAAGATTTACCAATGTGCTGACTTGGTAATGTTATTGAGATTAATGTGTTCGTCTTACATTTCAATTCATGGCATGCGTTCGTTTTGGTCTCTCGTTGTTGAGAATTTCTGTGCATGTGTTATGTCAAACTCTGATGGAATTAAAGGACGCCGAAAAAGGAACATCATAATTATATAAATTATACCTTTACAGTACATCGCATGCATGGTCCCTGTTGTTTTCTCTATTTCGTAGTGGTTTTGGTATCTAGAACGACGAAAGGCACCGATATCCATGTTCTTTGTTGTTATGGTTAGATTCAAATGTTACATTTTATCAGGTTATATTTCCCACAAGAAGGGATATATAGGTTCTACTATTACAAGTGTGATGCGATATTTCCCCACACGAGGCAGTTAAACATTTTATCAGGTTGTATTTCCCACAAGAAGGGATATATTGATTCTACTATGACAAGTGAGATGCGATATTTCCCTACACGAGGCAGTTTAACTTTCAAATTTGAAACGCGAGGTTTGCCGAGCTTGAAATGTTACTGTCGAATTTGGAGAAATTACGTATTGCACGAGGTTTGGTGATGGAAATTGTTTATCTAATGAATTGTAGACGATATGTACTTTATGCTTTATCTTTCTTTTCCAAAATTGATGTTTTCCTTTTTATGTGACGTTATCCGACTTGGTCCTGTTTTTTTCGTGACATCAATATAGCAAATTCAGTGGGAAAAGTCAAAATTGCATTTTACCAATGAAGACATGAAATCAAACGCAAATTTTAAAAGAATAATCAACATGTCAGGGAAAGTGTAAAGAAGTAGGTCCGGTAAGGGCCGATTTTGGCCTAAAATTTCAGGTTCATCTGATGAAAGATTTTGGACACTTTTTAAACACTTAAGTGTCTACTTTAGTAGATTCAATTAGTTTATTTGAAAGATTTGGACTGACTTAGTCATTAAAGACGCTCTAATTCAAGCTTAGATATTTAAATTCTATCACATATGCCACAATATGTCACTTTTCAGAAGTTTTTGTCAAAAATGAAAGTGGCCGCATCCGTGTTCATCCTCAACATTTATATATGTTATCAGGTTATGTATTATCATCAAATACAACTTACATTTGAATATTAAGAATGAACACAAATGCGGCTACTTCCATTTAAGACGAAAACCGTCTAAAAATGAACTCAAATGCTACAGTTGTGAGGAATTCAGTAATTCAGCATGACTTAATGATGCTAGTACCCGATACTTGTGCATTGTATTGTCAAAAACAGCCCATATATACGTAACAGAAATATTCTACTTTCCAATAAATAGCTAAAAGTTTTCATTTTAACAATTTTGTAAAACTGCTATTTTTTGGGGCCAAAAAGGGGTCTTACTGGACCTACTCCTTTGCTAAAAATTAAAAAGAAATTGCTCGTATTACACTTACCAGAGTGTGATGTGAATAAGTGATACGGAAAATTCTTTGATTCGCTGTTTCATAATTTATCCAAAGGATTAAGGGAATTTGTTTTTTGACAGTGATAGCTAATCATAACGTTTTGGGGTTGGCATTGAAAATATTTCCCAGAATTTATTAGATTCTGAAACAGCGAATTTGGTTGACTTATTTTGCAATGTCACGTTACGAAATTGCGACTTTTCTATTGACTATACCTTGGGTGAATGATGACGACGGAATAATTTCTCCCCTCGGGAACGGAGATTTGAGATTTCTTCAATAACAGATATGTTAATGTAAATAAAAATGTCGAATTTTATGGCATCAAGAATTCATTTATTCAATTTCATATTTACTCGGTCAAAAAATCACTCACCGTTTTGGTTTCGTACTGAAATTAAGATTTATGATCCTATCAAACTAACATATAGTTGCCGTAGATATGCGGGCGTAAAGGGCGTTCACCCTCTTTTTGGTCGAAAAAAATATCTCTTTTTCGCATAACATCGTCTACGCAGTTTAGAGACTAAGGGACAAGCACTTATTAACCACCTGTGTAGAAGGCGGTATTTTGACTATATACATATATATATATATATATCTCATGGACAATTACACCCCTATTTTTGGAACCCTGGATCTGCCCCTAATTTCTTCATTGTTCCCCACTCCCGGGGTAAATACACAAGGATATTTTTGTTTTTACCCTATCTCCTGTCGTATTTGCAAAAAAATATATATATCTTTTTTTACCCTTCACAACATGGATATGCTTTATCAACATCCGCACGCTTTGTCATGATCGCGAAATGATGAATAATGGAATTAACTCGAATGTTTAACTTATTACCATCTTTTAGAAATTCGGCAAAATTAAGAATTTAAGACAGATATATAACATGTTTAGGAGGGGTATTTCAAAAAAAAAAACCTGTCTTGCAGACTCTTTGAGAAATGTATATATTTTCCTAGGTTACAAGTAGCGCAGGCAATTAATCTTTTTACTTGAAATATGATGGCTTAGATCAGTATTATGTCTTTATATATTTTTTTACGCAAATCATCATATCGGCTACATTGTAGAACAAAATGAGATTTATCAATCACATTTAAATCATAAAACATACAATATACTACAAACATATTCATCAAAAATACTACTCGTAAGCATTGTAAATTTATTTTATCCATAAAGATGATATAGAAGTTTTCATCATATTTAACATAGTCTTTTTTACTTGTCCAGCACATTGATTCCAAACCAAAATTCAAATTATTTCGTTACGGTAAAACGGGTAAAGATGTCTTTTATAACTCTCCTATTCTCATTCAAAACTAAAGTATGTAAATTTGACCATATCCTATATGATATGATTCTTAAGTCACGATATTTTCAAAAAGAATGCAACTTACCTTTTTATTGATATATATTTTTGCAATAAAGCATCTCGTTTCCACTCAAACGCTATAAATAACAGAAGTCGCATACCTCGTTACAAAAAAGCTTCAAATGTTATCATTGGTTTGCTATATTGTATGGAATAGATAAATCATACTGTTCAGAGATAATAATATTTATACGATAACAATTTCTTCTGGAATGGCAAAGCTAATCATTTTCAGCAAGAAGTGTTTGTGTATAATTACTTAATCAACATGTGTTCTCTGCTGGGGTTAAAGTGTGTTGTTTAAAGAGGTTGTCTTTCTATCTGTTCGATAACATAGAAGTACTATACTTATTTTGTACGGATTTTGTAGTACTTCCATGGATTGAACTAACCCGAATAAATCAGTCGTTATACTCCGCTGCTCTACAATGGCTCATCGCAAGTAGGTGGTGGACTTTAGGGAAGAACTCAAGTTTAAATCGGTAGTCTAAGGGTACTTAATTGATGAGCACAGTTGATGAAATGCCAGTTATGATTGTTTGTTTAAATATTAGAATTATTCTAACATTTTTTTTCTCTATTCAACTATTTATACCTCTTTGATAAATTTGCTCTATTCAAAGAAAGCGTACGGTCTATTTATGTACATGTTCCGATTTTAAATTTCGCGATAGGCTAATGTCTTGAAAGTTATCATTGCTGTTTTGTTTGCTATTATATTTGGGGGACAACCATTTGATATCGGGGAAAGGGGATCTGAGGCTTTTGAAAATGAATATCTGGCCTGGTACAACGTGAAAATAAATAACAAAAGTTAAAATTAATAACAAAAGTGAAAATAAATAACAAAAAGTGAAAATAAATGTTCTTACACTATGATGTCATTATATGTAATCGAATATACTTCATTTATCATACTTTATTCTAAAATAAGGTATAATTCAAGAGTGACACCCATCCCTTCTAAATAGCCGAAAGCTATCATTTTGCCTTAACCGTTACATCATGGCATATTCCCGTTTGTGCTAACGCCCTCGGGGATGTATCTAACAGTTACAAGCACACAAGTAATGTTGATGCCATCATGTAGATCAGAGCATTGCAGAAAAATAGTTTGAAGGTTTTGGATATAAAACAGGTGTTCTGATAACATGTAGCCAATTTTGATCTTCTACTTTAGACACGATATCAATCTTTCTATGTGTTTACGACGTCTGCTATTTGAAAAATCCTGCTGCGTGCATGTTGGTTTTTAACTTCATGATCGTTTTGTAAAGCATAGAAAACAGACGGTTACTAGGTTTTTTGTTGGTGTGTAGTTGTGTTGTCTACTTGAGTTGTACCCGTTTTTTTAACACTACTAAATATACAAAAATAATAACAATAGACAGACGTTGACTTTGTGTAAGCATTGCAAAGAACATTGACATAAACATCATTTGACGGTTTTTTTTCCTGTGTTGGTTCCGTATACATCTCGTTTTACTACGTACGTTGTTTGTTTACATTGAAAGTTGATGACCACTTAGCGTGGCATATCCTGACCCAATCTAATACTTCGTCGATAAGACTTTCATTCTCAAATTTCAACTCCTAAAAATGGCTTCAAGCTTTTTTTGCCAGCAGGGCCATTCGTTTCGTTCCGACACATCTAGTTTTCTTGAAAGTCATATAGGTTAATTCATGATAATTCATTATAAAGTATATATTAAGAAATTTCAAAT